ATATACATGTGCTAGATATACATGTGATAGATATACATGTCATAGATATACATGTGCTAGATATACATGTCATAGATATACATGTGCTAGATATACATGTCATAGATATACATGTCATAGATATACATGTCATAGATATACATGTGATAGATATACATGTCATAGATAAACATGTGATAGATAAACATGTCATAGATAAACATGTGATAGATATACATGTGATAGATATACATGTCATAGATTTATGTGCAGGTATCGGTGAGCTCAGGTGTAGAACAGACACTGCAGGTGTAACAGGTGAGGCTGTTTTTTTTTCTCAGGTGATCGATGCGATCTCTGCAGCGATCTCTGGCACATCGGGCTGCAGCCTGCTGGATGTCGACCCCGGAGCCTCCACCAACCGCACCGTCTACACTTTCGTCGGGTCTCCTGACGCCGTGGTGCAGGGAGCGCTGAACGCCGCCCGCTGCGCCTTCAGCCTCATCGACATGAGCCAACACTCAGGTGAGCTGCTACCTGCAGCAGGAAACAGGAAGTTACACGCAGAAGGAGACACCTCACATCTGTGTGTGTATGTGTGTGTGTGTGTCCAGGTGAGCATCCTCGGACCGGCGCTCTGGACGTTTGTCCCTTCATCCCTGTCCAGAATGTCTCCATGGACGACTGCGTCCGCTGTGCCAACGTGTTTGGAGAGAAGCTGGCTGAGATTCTGCACGTGCCCGGTGAGAGTCGAGTGCACACCTGAGATTTAAAAAAACAACTATATTTTACCTATGTGATCAAATGTTTCATTAAATGATCTCAGACTTTTAGACATTATGTGTCAAAGTGAGAATGACAGTTGTCTGCAGTTTGTTGTTTGTGCCACCAGGGGGCAGTGGGATGAATGTTAGCGGTGAAGCTAACAGTGATGCTAACTCTCTGCTCCTCAGTGTATCTCTATGGAGCAGCAGCTCGCAGTGAGGCGAGGAGGAGTCTTCCTTCAGTGAGAGCCGGAGAGTATGAAGCTCTACCTGACAAGGTGAGACTCCAACAGCCAATCAGAGGCCTTCATCTCAGACTGTGTCCCTGAATGCACCACTACAAAAAGGTTTTCTGAAGGCATTGAGGGAAATCTAGTACAGCTGGTTGTAAGAAAAAGGGCTTCTAAAAATCAGTCCGAGCAGATCATCACTGTTCAAAGATGTTTTGTGTATCCTGAAAGACTTCAATCAGTACAAATTCACTTTGTGTTTTTTTTCCTCCAGTTGAAGCAAGCTGATTGGGCCCCTGACTTTGGCCCCGCCCAGTTTGTGCCATCCTGGGGCGCCACGGTAACGGGAGCTCGCAAGTTCCTGATCGCCTACAACGTGAATCTGATCAGCACCAAAGAGCAGGCGCACCGCATCGCTCTGAACGTCCGCGAGCAGGGCCGGGGGCGGGACCAGGTGAGTCACCTGCTCTGATGTCACTGAACATGATGTCATCTACATATCTACATGTGTGTGTGTGTGTGTGTGTGTGTGTGTGTGTGTGTGTTTGTGTGCAGCCCGGGCGGCTGCAGCAGGTGCAGGCGATGGGCTGGTACCTGGACGAGTCAAACATCGCTCAGGTGTCCACCAACATCCTGGACCATGAGCTGACCCCCCTACACCGAGTGTACCAGGAAGTGTGCAGAGACGCCCAGGTGAGACACACACACTCACACTCACACATACAGAGACACACACACACACACACACACACACACACACACACACACACACACACTCACACTCACACTCACACATACAGAGACACACACACACACACACACACACACACACACACTCACACTCACACTCACACATACAGAGACACACACACACACACACACACACACACACACACACACACACACACACACACACACACCTGTACCTCACATTGGGTTTGTCATGTCAGGAGCTGAAGCTGCCCGTGGTCGGCTCGCAGATCGTCGGTCTGATTCCTCTGAAGGCGCTGCTGCACGCTGCAGACGACTTCATCCAATCAGACGGACTCTTCATCGTGGAGGAGGAGCATAAAGTCCGACTGGTCAGACACACACACACACACACAGAGACACACACACACAGAGACACACACACACACACAGAGACACACACACACAGAGACACACACACACACACAGAGACACACACACACACACAGAGACACACACACACAGAGACACACACACACAGAGACACACACACACACACAGAGACACACACAGAGACACACACACACAGAGACACACACACACACACAGAGACACACACACACACAGAGACACACACACACACACACACACACAGAGACACACACACACACACACACACACACACACACACACACACACACAGACACACACACACACACACACACACACACACACACACACAGAGACACACACACACACACACACACACACACAGAGACACACACACACACACACACACACACACAGAGACACACACACACAGAGACACACACACACAGAGAGACACACACACACAGAGACACACACACACACACACACACACACACAGAGACACACACACACACACACACACACACAGAGACACACACACACACACACACACACACACAGAGACACACACACACAGAGACACACACACACAGAGAGACACACACACACACACACACACACGGACACACGGACACACACACACACACACACAGAGACACACACACACACACATTAACATGATGTGTGTGTGTGTGTGTGTGTGTGTGTCTCTGTGTGTGTGTGTGTGTGTGTGTGTGTGTGCAGGTCATCAGTAAACTGGGTCTGGACTCTCTCTCTCCGTTTCAGCCGATGGAGAGAATCATCGAGTGAGTCACTTTTAAACGTTCATTAAAGTTTCAGATTTGATAAACAGTGAGTAACAAAGATGGCCGCCTGTCTTTGGTGTGTGTGTGTTACCTGTGCAGGTACATGGTGAGGTCACAGGAGGACGCTCAGCTGGTGTCTCTGTCTCTGCAGCGCTTTGTTCACAGCGTGGGCGCTCGGACGGCGGCGCCCGGGGGAGGGTCGGTGTCTGCTGCCGTCGCTGCTCTGGTATGAAAACAAAGGAGGAGGAGCTTAAGTTAAAGACCTCCTCTTCATCATCCTGACCACACGGTGTGTTGTGCGTCCTGCAGGGGGCGGCGTTGGGCGCCATGGTGGGTCAGATGACGTACGGGAAGAGACACTTTGACAACCTGGACGGCGTGATGAGGAGGCTGATTCCACCGTTTCACCAGGCCATGAACGACCTGCTGCTGATGGTGGACGCCGACTCCACCGCCTTCAGCAGCTACATGGTGAGAAGACGCTCCACGCCATCTGTCCGTGATAATCAGAGCGTTCTTTATTAAAATGACTTCCTGTTTCAGGCGGCGCTGAAGATGCCCAAGAAAACTGAGGAGGAAGTGAAAAGGTAAATGTTTCTAATCAGGTCCCTTTGACCTGTGACCTTTGACCTCTGACCTGTGACCTTTGACCTTTGACCTGTGCTCTGTCAGGCGTGAGGCTGCGATGCAGGACGGTCTGCAAGGCGCGGTCGGCGTTCCTCTGGCGTTGGCGGAGCGTGTAAACGTTCTGTGGCCGTCTCTTAAAGAAATGGTCGTTTACGGAAACGTGGCATGCAAGTCGGACGCTCAGGTGACTCAAAGTGTTTGTTTGTTTGTTTTTCACCACTGTCTCATAAACAAGCTGAGCTTTTCTTTTTGTTTACATTTGAATGTGCGTGCTCAGGTGGCGGCTAAAGCTCTGGAGACGGCAGTTTTCGGAGCGTATTACAACGTGACGATCAACCTCAAGGACATCACAGACCAAGAATTCAAGATGGCCGTATGTTTACAAACATCAACAACAAACATCAACAACAAGCATCAACAAACATCAACAAACATCAACAAACATCAACAAACATCAACAAACATCAACAAACATTAACAAACATCAACAAACATCAACAAACATCAACAAACATTAACAAACATCAACAAACATCAACAAACATCAACAAACATCAACAAACATTAACAACAAACATTAACAAACAACAACAAACATCAACAATAAACATCAACAACAAACATCAACAAACATCAACAAACATCAACAAACATTAACAAACATCAACAAACATCAACAAACATCAACAAACATTAACAAACATCAACAAACATCAACAAACATCAACAAACATCAACAAACATTAACAACAAACATTAACAAACAACAACAAACATCAACAATAAACATCAACAACAAACATCAACAAACATCAACAAACATCAACAAACATTAACAAACATCAACAAACATCAACAAACATCAACAAACATTAACAAACATCAACAAACATCAACAAACATCAACAAACATCAACAACAAACATTAACAAACATCAACAAACATCAACAAACATCAACAACAAACATTAACAAACATCAACAAACATCAACAAACATTAACAACAAACATTAACAAACATCAACAAACATCAACAAACATCAACAAACATCAACAAACATCAACAAACATTAACAAACATCAACAAACATCAACAAACATCAACAACAAACATTAACAAACATCAACAAACATCAACAACAAACATCAACAACAAACATTAACAAACAACAACAAACATCAACAACAAACATTAACAAACAACAACAAACATCAACAATAAACATCAACAACAAACATTAACAAACATCAACAAACATCAACAACAAACATTAACAAACATCAACAAACATCAACAACAACAACAAACATCCTGAGAGTCCTCTCACAGAGATTGTGTGTGTGTGTGTGTGTGTGTGTGTGTGTGTGTGTGTGTGTGTGTGTGTGTGTGTGTGTGTGTGTGTGTGTGTGTGTGTGTGTGTGTGTGTGTTGCAGACTCTGAAGAGAGCAGCAGCGTTGCTGCAGGAGGCGAAGGAGAGCACCGCCGCCATCCTCCTCGCTGCAGACGAGAGGAAGTGAAACAACAAACAGCTCCTACTTCTCCTCTGATGTCCTGTGATTGGATGATTCTAATGCAATGCACTCTGGGAGCTGTAGTTGATTAAAGTTGATCTGTCTGAGTTCAAACATTAAAAACTTGATTTAAAATAATCAGAACTTGTTGATTAACTGATTCTCTACATGCTGTGTCTGTGCTAAGCTAACATTAGCATGCTGTGCTAAGCTAACATTAGCATCCAAAAGAAAAGGTTAAAATCTCTTAGCTGTGTCTAAATGTCTCTCAGGTGTCTTAGGTGTGTCTTAGGTGTGTCTCAGTTGTGTCTCAGTTGTGTCTAAATGTCTCTCAGGTGTCTCAGTTGTGTCTAAATGTGTCTCAGGTGTGTCTCAGGTGTGTCTCAGGCGTGTCTCAGGTGTGTCTCAGGCGTGTCTCAGTTGTGTCTCAGTTGTGTCTCAGTTGTGTCTAAATGTCTCTCAGGTGTCTCAGGTGTGTCTTAGGTGTGTCTTAGGTGTGTCTCAGTTGTGTCTCAGTTGTGTCTAAATGTCTCTCAGGTGTCTCAGTTGTGTCTAAATGTGTCTCAGGTGTGTCTCAGGTGTGTCTCAGGCGTGTCTCAGGTGTGTCTCAGGCGTGTCTCAGTTGTGTCTCAGTTGTGTCTCAGTGTGTCTAAATGTCTCTCAGGTGTCTCAGTTGTGTCTAAATGTGTCTCAGGTGTGTCTCAGGTGTGTCTCAGGCGTGTCTCAGGTGTGTCTCAGGCGTGTCTCAGGTGTGTCTCAGGCGTGTCTCAGGTATCTCAGGTGTGTCTCAGGTGTGTCTAAATGTCTCTCATGTGTCTCAGGTGTGTCTCAGTTTCTCTCAGGTGTGTCTCAGGTGTCTCAGGTGTGTCCCAGGTGTCTCAGGTGTGTCTCAGTGTGTCTCAGGTGTGTCTCAGTGTGTCTCAGTGTGTCTCAGGTGTCTCAGGTGTGTCTCAGTGTGTCTCAGGTGTCTCAGGTGTGTCTCGGTGTGTCTCAGGTGTGTCTCGGTGTGTCTCAGTGTGTCTCAGGTGTCTCAGGTGTGTCTCAGGTGTCTCAGGTGTGTCTCAGGTGTCTCAGGTGTGTCTCGGTGTGTCTCAGGTGTGTCTCGGTGTGTCTCAGTGTGTCTCAGGTGTCTCAGGTGTGTCTCAGGTGTCTCAGGTGTGTCTCAGGTGTGTCTCAGTGTGTCTCAGGTGTGTCTCAGTGTGTCTCAGTGTGTCTCAGGTGTCTTAGGTGTGTCTCAGGTGTCTCAGGTGTGTCTCAGGTGTGTCTCAGTGTGTCTCAGGTGTGTCTCAGTGTGTCTCAGTGTGTCTCAGGTGTCTTAGGTGTGTCTCAGTGTGTCTCAGGTGTGTCTCAGTGTGTCTCAGGTGTGTCTCAGTGTGTCTCAGTGTGTCTCAGGTGTCTTAGGTGTGTCTCAGTGTGTCTCAGGTGTCTTAGGTGTGTCTCAGTGTGTCTCAGGTGTGTCTCAGTGTGTCTCAGGTGTCTTAGGTGTGTCTCAGTGTGTCTCAAGTGTGTCTCAGGTGTCTCTTAGGTATCTCAGGTGTGTCTCAGTGCGTCTCAGGTGTGTCTCAGTGTGTCTCAGGTGTCTTAGGTGTGTCTCAGGTGTGTCTCAGTGTGTCTCAGGTGTCTCAGGTGTGTCTCAGTGTGTCTCAGTGTGTCTCAGGTGTCTTAGGTGTGTCTCAGGTGTCTTAGGTGTGTCTCAGTGTGTCTCAGGTGTCTCAGGTGTCTTAGGTGTGTCTCAGTGTGTCTCAGTGTGTCTCAGTGTGTCTCAGTGTGTCTCAGGTGTCTTAGGTGTGTCTCAGGTGTCTTAGGTGTGTCTCAGGTGTGTCTCAGTGTGTCTCAGGTGTCTTAGGTGTGTCTCAGTGTGTCTCAGGTGTGTCTCAGTGTGTCTCTCTCTGTTCATTAAAAGAAGAAATATTAAATTTGTCATAAAATGATATGAAAGTTTAAAAACTGGTTTGTTGACGTCCTGTCAGTCAGAGGAATTCAGGAAGAAGATTCAAAAGATGATACCTGAGGGGGAGGGGGGTGATTATGAATTCATTAGGGGAGGTACACAGACCCCCCGCCAGGAGGGGTAATTATGAATTCATTAGGGGAGGTACACAGACCCCCCGCCAGGAGAGGGCGCTCTAACACTGAGCAGCACGAGCCGGTAGACCGGAAGTAGTCAGTACGTGATGAAGGAGTTTCAGTGTTACATCTGTACCTGTGTTTCCTACAGGTAAGCTGACTGTGATTAACATCCTGGGGATTAACAACAGTAACATGTTTTATCAGCGCTTTAGTTGTAATTATGGACGTCAACAGACGTGGATTTTGTTTGTTTGTTGCCCCGGATGTGTTTCAAGATGGCGGCCGCCGATAGAAACACATCCGTTGCTAAATACAAAGCTAGTAACTTTACGAGTGTGAAATAAGTGTTTATAGTCAAAAGTTTAAGACGTTAAGAGAGGGAACAGACTGTGTGAAGCATGATAAACTAAGACATTGTTTCGGGAGTTTGG